AGAGGTCCGATACTTTATGAACACCCTGTATATATGCCCTTTCGGTTTGTCTTTCCATCTCCCTTAAGGGTATACGGCGAACTTGTCAAGTGTTCGTCACTTACTCAGGAAGAACTTCGCGCCTAGCTTGTGCACGAAGAGGGGCAGGATGATCGAGCCGGGGATGCACGCGAGGCCGATGTACACGGTGTGCAGGTAAACGGAGGGCGCGATTATCGTGTCACATCCATACGGGTCGAAGAAGGTCGTGTTGTCCGGCAGGGCGGACACTATGCACACCGACGTGGTCTCGCCGGGATTCGCGTGCTCGAACTGCTCGAATCTGTCGAGTAAGCAACGCAAACGAGGATTATTGGAGATTAGCACTACAACAATAAGATATTGCGATTACACAATTATGAAATAAAAAAATGATGAAGCCGAGAGAATGCAGCTGGAAAAATATAAGCGAACGGCCAGTGAGGGTTTAAGCGGAATTATCTCAATCAAGTAGCAAAGGTGACGTCGAATGATGTTTCAATAACGTCTCATATTGATGTTAGAGACGTCATTAAAATGTTGTTAAATGTTAAGACGTTATTAAAACGTCATTTGGCATCACCTTAATTGCTATACGTGGAATGTATGTATATTGACGCGATAAGGCATAAAAAAAAGAGAAAAATATATATATAAAACGGACCTGTTTTTAGTGGAACAAAATGTTCTTTCTGTTTTACTTGCATTTTCAATTAATTATGCCCCCTTATTGTGATTTTTTTATTCAAGAGATTTCTTCCGACTTAGGAATGCGGAGGAACTGACGTGATGCGCGTGTGATAAAAAATTACCTGGTGAACAATTCCGGGAACCAGACCATCAGAGTGTAGTAGCTGCTAGTGAGTCCGAATTGGATGGCGCAGGCGAGTACGGTGTTGCGTAGGTAGGGCGGCTTGCAGAGCGCGGTCGTCAGATCACGTATTTCCGCGAACAGGACCTTCAGATCCTTCCGCTTGTGCAGCTTCAGCGCCCTGGTGCTTTTATCCTGATGCTTCACCTTCTCTTGTAAGCACTTCACCTGAAGTAGAAAAAAAAGAAGAATAAAGTATGTGTAAAACATTTAAAACTTCTTTTTAGAACACTAAGAACATTCTTCAAATACTGACGGATTAAA